ATCACATACAGGGTAACAAATTGTTGCATATTGTTTTTGCATATGCAACAGTCCCCTTACTCCTCTGCTGGGTATGGTGTTTCCCTCCTGCGTTGGGAATCTCCTAATGTTCTTGTGCCCGGAACAAAGGGTGCATAGGAGGGGGTCTGTGGAAAAGTGCTCTAGAGAAAACTTCTTGCAGTTTAAAAGTCAGACTGATAAATGCTTCTAGCATTTTAGGTAGGCTAAAGCCTGGGACCTCTTGCTGCAGTATTTGCACAGGCTGGGACCTGTACCTCGAGCAACAAAAAAACAAACCACAAGGGACTAAAAATAACTGCGCACGTGCGCAGAAACCCAACTGCCATTTCTGTGGTGTCAGGAGCAAAAGCAGGGCACTATGCATGATCCCTGCACACAGCACCACGCAGCGGCTGGATGGACCACCCAAGCCTCCCTCCTCTCCAGCCCAACCCTGGTCGGCAGGAGTGTGAGAAAAGCCATATACACTACCATACATTAAGCAGTTACAAATACCGTATGGTCACCAGTGACAGTAGGGTCTTGCTGGGTGACACCACCACCCTGGCCCAGAAGTCGTTCCATAGTGTTCCCTGCATGGACAGGAGTAAAGACGTGACCTCAGCTGGGACGCTAACAGCTCTGAGCTGAGATACCTGCCTTCTGGGACTCGGACCTTACAAAGCTCTTCCCTACAGTGGTGAATTGTGACCTTCAGTGGGGCAAGGCCCGGCACATGGCAGGTGCCTAGTGGAGGCTCCAGTGACAAAAGAGCTTGGCTCATTGAGGGAGAGGCTGCTGCACTGGAACCCCAGGCCGGGGCATCTGTTTACCCAGGTGAGGCTCCAGAAGGCACAGGTGGGCCCTGTCGATGACCGGGGCCCTTTCCTGTGCCCTGGGAAGGGACGGCACTTTGGAAATACCTCTTAGCTGTAGAAGCTGCGGACGAACGTGCCCTGAGCATCAGCCCAAAGCCATTCCCTGCCTCCCCCGCCCCCTGGGAGGCTCTCCAGGGAGTGCATGGGAAGCTGGGAAGAGCCTTCAAAGATCAAAGGGAAGACTTGGGGCTGCTCCGGGTGGTGTCTAGACAGACACTCCGACCACGGGACTTGGGGTGGGAGGTGTGCCTGTGATGTCAGAGGCTCCTTCAAAGGAGCCAGTCTTCTGGGAGTGGGTGTTCAGGACTCCCTCAGCAGCAACGTGGGCTGCTAGGCCAGGGCAGCAGGACAGGCACAGCCCAACCCCCATTCCTGCCCTCCGAAGGGGTCGGGGAGAACCTCCAGGCCCCGAAGACCTTGGCCGTAAGTGTCTCTCTCATTCAGTGTGTTTAATGAGCACTCACTAGCCTCAGGCACAAAGCAGACCACAACCGCTGCTCCCGTGGGGCCTACACTCCACCGGCGCGATAAGCCCCCTTCCCTGCAGGCTGGGAGCCCCGGAGGGGGCTGTGTCTCTCCTGCAACCAGGAGGTGGCTGAGTGAGACAGGCCGGAGCCGGAGAGTCAGGGTATCGGGACCACCATAAGCAGACACCGGCCCAGCTGGATGTGGACTTTTATAGCTACAGATTTTTGTTTTTAAAAAACTCTTACCTGGAGCCCCATGTAAACAGTGTTTTATTAAGCATAACTTTCTTTTGGTGTCTTCCTCCCTGTAAGGTTTACTTATTAAGCCGATTGGTGAGAACGACCAGGCAGTTTTGATCAACATAACCACTTGAAATCCAGGGTTATGGAAATCAGTTAGACTCTCACGCCCAGTGCCTTCCCACATATCAAGGTTCTTCCACTCAGCACCATTAACATTTGGGGGTCAGGGACTTCTTTGTTGGGGGTGTCCTGAGCACTCTAGAATGTTAACCAGCATTCCTAGCCTCCACCCACTAGATGTCGGTAGTAACACTCCCGTCACGTATGAAAACCAAAAATGTCTCCAGACATTGTCAGGTGTCAGTCACCCCTGTTGAGAACCACTGCCACTGCCATCTGTTTTGATTGGACGAGATCAAGAAATCCTGTTTCATACAGAGAAGTACTTGCCATTGTTTAAAAGTATTCTTCTTTTTTTCAAATCAGCTCTCTTGACACTCCTGGGTCCACCTTGAATTCAATAAAAGTTTTATTCTGAGGTCTGCACAAAAAGCAAGTTCCTGCCGCGGCCTTAGTTAATGTGTCGGTAGCTGTCGACGTACTAAGATTCGTGTGCAACACATTTACGTGGGCGTGTCGTTTTCATTACAATTTTGAAGAGTAGGGGAAATCTTCATATTAAAAACATTCAGCCCAAATGTTGGCAGAGCCCCTAAGCCTTTTGGAGGCAGGTTCCAAGACGCTGGCTTCACGCTGGGAAGCAGCCCTAGAGAGAGGCCAGGATCTGATGACCGTGAAGGTCAGGCGGGAGGGCAAGATCACCTGGGCCTGTGTGCTTCCCTGAGACCCAAGGCTTCATCAGAGAAAGCCTGCAGGAGGCGGGGAGGGCGGGTGGAGGACGAGGATCCAAGGCTGAGGGAAGTAAACTAAGACCGGTTCAGGGGGTGAGCGGAAGAAAGGCCTCTCGCCCCATGTGGTTCTAAGAAAGAGCCCCCAATTCTTGGTGACGCAGGGCCAGGAGGTTAAACCCAGAATCATCATAATGAAAACAATCTGCACGATTTGATGCTTCCAGAATTTCCCGGGAGCAAGTCCAAGGTGGAGAATCCCAGCGGAAGTGCTGCTGGTCGGAAGTGAGAGGGAGCCGGGGTGGGTAAGGGGATGAAAGGACGGGGGAGAACGTCTTTCCCGGGGCCCAGGTTTGGGGACGGGGGCTGCCGGCCACCCTGGGGATGACAGGGTGGGGGGCCCCGCAGGCTGTAGAAACAACAGCTGGCTTTAATGTTCTGGAAAAAATAACCCTTCCCTGGAATCAATTTGTTCTCCTTCCTCCGAAATTCGGAGCCAATTTCTGGGCTCACTCCTGGGAAATCTGCCTCCAGTGCAGTGGGACAGCTGATCGCAGGCCAGGACTCACCACACAGCACTACGCGGCAAACCCGACCAGGGGCCCGACAGCCACCCGCTGGCCGTGTCCTCGGCTCCTGGGCAGCTCTTGGAGGCAGGCTGGCCCGGGCGGACAGGGGAGCCCCAGGCCTGGAGCGCAGAGGTGTGGGCCACAGGCCCCCTAGGCATCTCCTCCCCTTCTCCTTTTGCAGACACTGTGGGGTATTTCGTTCTTATGGTCCACTCGGGCACTTTCAATGTGTCAGGGCTCTGGCGCTGAGAGAGATGGTGAAGATGGTGTGGTCCTGCTCCTCATTTCACAGCTGGGGAATCTGAGGCTCTGTGGTGACTTTTCCAAGGTCACCCGTGCAGGCATCCTGACCACCCCCTCGGAGCTCTCTAAAACCTCCACTTCTTTCTGTTGGGGAAGGGTGGCTTGTCCACAGCTTCTTGTTTAGCCATCCAGCGTGGTGTCTCCTGAGAGAGGGCGAGCATGTGAGGGAGCACGTGCAGGCGTGCGCCCTGGCCTGGCTGGGAGGGCGGGTACACACCTACCATCTTTGGACACAGCTGACTGTTCCCTGTCGGGACAGAGAGTCTGTCTGGTGTTGGGATCAGGATAAGGGCTGAGAAGAAGGTTGGGGCTGGGTTGTGGGTGAGTGTTGAAAGTCAGGCAGTCTCATGTGGAACCGGGGAAAGTCCTTGGAGGTCTTTGACTGGGGTGATGCTCAGTTTGGGTTAGGCTGGTCAGAGAAGATGTCCCAGGAGAGGAGGCCCACAAAGGATGCTCAGAATGTCAGCTGGTGCAGAGGGGCCTGGCAAGATGACCCCGCAGACTGGGCTGGGAAGTTGGAGAACTGAAGGTGTGCTTGGGAAAGTTTGAGTAGTCCATATTGACTGTGGGGTGGCGTTTATTTGGGAAACAAATAGTTGGTTGCAGACTCTTATTGGGCACCTTTGGATGCAGGTGCTGTACTAGGTGCTACAGACAAACATAGAGGAGACTTGAATTAAGAGTTTACCAAGAGTTTGTTCTGTTCACTTTCCCAACAGACTTACAGAGGCCCTTCTCTGCGGCACACATGGTGGGAATAAAGCATGGTCCATGCCCTCAAGAACTCACTGACCACGCTAAGGCTGCTGAGAGGCAGACACAAAATGAGTGCCGAGGGCTGTGGGAGCTGCCCGGGAAGGGCTCCTGCCTCCTTCTAATTTCCCAGCCTAATCCTAACTCCTGCATGCCCGCCTCCAGAGACCCTTACTCCGGATCCTGGTGCATTCCCCACCCCAGGGAGTCTCTGCACTTCCACAATATGCACATGTGCACCCTCCTCCCGTGGAAGACTTTCAGAGGATTCCCTTTAAGAACCACCAGCCCAAATGCAAGGCCAAGTCTTAGCCTGACAGGGGCGTTGAGAGCAGAGTTTATCTGGGGGAAAAGAATCCCAGGGCACTGTATTTCAGAATCAAGGATGCTGAGAAAGTCTTCAGACCTTGCCTGACTCTTCCTTCTGTAGGTCTGTTACCAAATCCAAGCTCGTGCTGCTCACTGCATGACAGGCCAATAAATTGAGAGACGAGGTGTTGGGGCAAGGAAGAGCGACTTTATTTGGAAAGCCAGCAGACCAAGCAGATGGTGGATTAGTGTCCCAAAGAATCATCTTGCCTAAGTTAGAATTCAGGCTTCTTTTATACTAAAAGAGGAGGAGGTGTGGCTGGGTGTTGCAAACTTCTTGGTGCAGAAATCCTTTGATCCTGCAGCTATCCGCATAAGTCTGGTCATAATGTTCCTACAAACCTCCCGTAAGACAATTGTTATTTTCTGTTCTGCAACTTTTTACTGCTCTATGAATGGACAAGTGTTATATCTTTAAAGGTCAGAGCCTTGAGAATGGGCTGTCTGTGTATTTCAGGCTATGGGAAAGGTGCAGAGCCAGCATGACTAAGCAGAGGCAACAGAGCCCAGGGTTAGAGCCAAAGGGACAGATTCAATATGGAGTCAGGTTTGTTCTCTGTTGTAGGTCCCGCTGTGCCCTCAGGCAGCAGAGAACCCCAGCTTAGCAGCTTCTCTGCTCCGCATTGAAGGCTGCCACTGGCTTAATTCAGGGTCCTCCACCAGGATGACTGGAGCCTGATAAGAGTCTCACCTCACATCTGGAAAGCGCCGTGCAGCTTCCTGCAACCTCAGAGCCTTCCTCTGGCATTGGCAGAGCAGCTGCGGTTCCCAATCTCAGGTGAGGCCACTGAGGCTTGGAGAGGGCCAGGGTGGGCTTCCTCTGAGCTTGGTGCCCTCCCCGCTCCTTCCAGTTGTCCTGCAACCTCCCTCCCAACTCAGGCCACGTGTACTCTGTTCCTGTGCGGCAGGAGTGACATTTCCTGAAAGGCGCTCCCGGGCCGCCAGCTTCAAGGGCTCCGCAAGGCCCTGCCTGGGAAGGACTGAGCTGGCGCTGGTGGGCGGGGTGCTGCGCTGACCCTGACCTCAGGGGCCTTCCTCTCCTCATTAGGGAAGGATGCTGGGGAGAGTGAAGGAGGCTCTGGGGAGCCAAGCTCCTTCTGGGAACCATCCTAGGGGAAGCGTTGCTCCTGCCTGGCCCTTCCCTGTGCTGCGCCACGCCCACCCTGGGCTTCAGAGGGGCTTTGGTGCTGGGAAGAATGGGCCTTAGACCCTGGACCTTGCAGGAGGCAGAGGTCAGCACATTCCAGGGCTTGGCCCTTTCCGCCTCAGTCAGAAAACTCACAGCGGACGGAAGGCCTGGGCCTCCTCCTGGGCTGCGTGGAGCCGGCAGTGTACAGGGCGTGGGTTCCAGCAGCCCCCTCTCTGGCGGGCAAAGCTCTTGGAGCCCCTTGGCCTCTGCTGAGCAGGAGCTGACCTGGGAGCCTCCCTCCCTGAGAATGCTATGAGGCCCCCAAGCCCTGTTCCCTCCCAGGGCCTGGGCCCCAGCCACTGAGCTGCCTGGGGGAAGGCACGTTTCTCCATTGGTGGAGAAGACACATCAATTCTGGTGCTGCCTCCCACTCTGGACCCCAAGTCACCCTGCCGGTGTCTCCCCTTGAGGCACACAGGCCCCCCTCTGCCCTCACAGCTCTGCTCTCTCCCTCCACTGCCTGGAGCAATCTCTCCTCCATCTTCCCTTGAGGACTCCTGCTCATCCTTCAGCCCCAGGCCTCCCCTCCCGTCCCCGGAATGCCTTCGTGGACCCTGGGATGGCTGGTCCCTCTGTTCTATGCCCTGGCCTTTTCCTCCAGAGCACGGTCAAAGTTAATGAACTGAGGATGACCCACCGACCCCCCACCTCCAGCCACAGGAGGGCTGGGACAGTTCTATGTCTTGTGTGCTAGGCAAGACACAGTGGGGGCTGCCCAGTTATGCTTATTGTGTTACTCAATGTTCTAGCAGGATCGGGGTTTCCAGAAGGTACTGCTCTGAGGCTCTGCGCACACCTGAGGTGCAAGGAAGCACACCTGGCCCAGAGAAGGTCCGTTAGGACATGGCAGGGCAAGGGAGTGTGGGCTCACTCTGAGGGCAGGCCAGGATGGCCTGCCAAGGGTGGGGCTGGGCAGGGAGGCCAGGCAGCTGGTCCAAATGGTACAAAATAGTTTGTGATGGGTTTACAGAGAGAGGACAGCCCTGTGGAAGGGGCAGTGCCCAGCCAGGGGACAGCCAAAGGCAGATTCCCTCAAGCCTACAGGCCATGAAGGGTCACCAGGGGTCCCCCCCTTGCAAGAGAACTTTCTCCTTGTGGGGAGGTGGCAGTGGAATCAGAGGCAATGGGTTCAGATCTGGTCCCATCTTCTCCCAGAGCCCCTCGTTCTTCATCTGTAAAGGAAGGACTTAACTGATGGGGTTACTGGGAGGTCAGCTGAAGGAATGTTTATGAAAGGTGAGTCAAATGTAATTTTGCTTTTTCCTTCTCTGCAGGAATCACAGGCCAGAGGTGAGAGCCAGGGGTGGGGAGCCCCCCTGGCCCGTGGGGAGCCCCCCTGTCCCACGGGGAGCGGTCGTCACTGTCTGGGTACTTGCCTTCCAGCGGACAGTAAAGGGTCACAGACCTGCTCCTGTGACTCACGGCTCTGGGAAGAAGGCAGAAACAGGTTCCTGCAGATGTTGCAGAGGTGAGGAGAGTTTTCCTTGCCTTCCCAACCCCATTGTTCAACAAACATGTACCAAGCTCTTCCCAGGCCCCAGGCACTGTGTAGGCACCAAAAGACAGAGCAATACAGCTCAGCCCTCAGAGAACCCCCGCTGCTTCCAGGGCTCCGGGAGGCCTGACCCCTGGAGGGGAGCAGGTCTTTTCTAGAGGGCCGGCCCTGACCCATCTCTTACTGCAGGAGAGCTGGGGGCGGCCATCACCTACGCTCGCTCCTTGGAGGTCTGGCTGGTCCCTGGCTTCCTGCCCTTCTTGGCAGCTCTGTAGCCCAGACTCTCTGGCAGTCTGGACTCCTATGGCTGACCGCCCCCAACCCTTCCCCACACAGGGACAATGGGGCAGCTCGCACAAGGTGCAAAGCTGCGCTCTGGAAGCTTTCCCCTCCCTCTCGAACAACAGCAGCTCCAGGCTTCTAGTCCTCATGCCAAAACCTTGAAGTCCCCCACCCCAACCCCCACAGCCCACACTCCATCTGCCAACCAGTGTCACCAGCACTACCTTAACATAGATGGCAAACGAATCCACAGCGGACAGAAAGCAGACCTGCTATGGCCTGGAGTGTGGAGTGAGGGAGACAAGTCAAAGGGACACGAGGAAACTTCTGGAGGCAGCAGAATGCTAAGGATCTTGATTGTGGAGATGGGTTGACGGCTGCACATGCACATCAGAGCTCGTCCAACTGTACACTTCATGTGGAGTTTAATGGATGTCACTTACACTTTAATAAAGCAGTTTGTTATTTATTAAAAAAAAACAAAAACAGATGTTTCTCATGACCCATGTGAGACCCTGGACAAGCCCTTTCCCTTCTTTTAGCCTCAGCTTCCCCATCTATGAGATGGGCGTCTCTAAGAGTCCTTCCAGCTGGACCACCTGACCTCCTGCCCACCATGCCCCCCTCCTCCCGCTGTGAACGCACCTCCCTTGAAGGTAGCACCAGTCTCCAGGGGAAGGGCTGTGGCTGTGTGGCCCAGGTTTGTCCCTGCACCCTGAGCCGATCCTGGCTCAGCTCACCAGCCCTCCCTGCAAGAGTCGCTCAGACCAAGTAGAGAAATTGGTTGGGAGAGGTGGATGCCAGGGAACAGGGCCAAGTCATGTAGGAAAATAAGGAAGTGAGTAACTCCGTGACTCTACACTGTCTGGACTCCTCTCAAGCCCAGAAAAACTCCGGAAATCTGGAGAGAAGCACGCAGATGTTGCCAACGCTTACATTTGACAGATGGGATGGGGAAACTGAGACCCAGAGGGAATTCAACTTTCAAGTACACTGAGCTGGAAACGGCAGAGTTGATGCAGAAATGCAGGTTGATGTCAACTAGACTTACTGTGGGGATCATTTGCAATATATACAAATATTATGATGTATTCTTGAAATTAATGTACTGTCATATGTCAATTACATCTCAATTAAATTAGAGAAATGCAGGTTGCTGGACTCCTAATCTAGTGCTCACCCACAGGCCCCAACTCTGAAGACTGAGATATGGAGGTTGTCCCTGGGTCTACAGAGCTCTCTAATCTGGTTCCCTGCGACCACAAGATCTGCCTTTGGGTCCTCCCAGAGGCCTGCATCTATCGGTGAGCCCCACGCCTGGAAATGAAAGACTGCTCAGGTCCCTGTGCCCTGAGGCACATCTGATCTGGAAGTTTCCCAGCAAGATCTGTCCCTGCCTCCGTTTGGGGCAGGAGGGACAAGGCTCAGACCCCTAATCTGAGGCAGGTTTCAAGCCCTGGAGTTAGAGGAGTCCTGGACAGAGCCAGAACATCTGTAACTGCTAAATCATGGATGATTCTCCAACTGCCCTATGAGGCTGGCATTGTAACCCCATTTTACCCTGTTTTCTAAAGGAAAAAACTGATACTGTGAGCATTGGAGCAGCTTTCTCTGGGAACACCAGGACTGGAACGCAGTTAGCCCCATTCCACGGACTTTCCAAAAAGGAGGAGGAGGAGGAGGGGATGGGGAGAGAAACAGCAGCAAGAGAAACAGAATCTGGCACCTTCAGCACCAGGACCGCCAATCCCAGCCCCTGTCTGGATGATTTCAGAAGCCTCTTAACTGGTGTCTATGCCCTTTCTGTTCCTTGGGCCATCCGTTCTCAACACAGCAGCAGCGAACCTACGAAAGTGTGGTCAAACCATACCCCTTCCTCGGCTCAGAGCCCTGCAGAGGCCTCGCAGCAGCGAGCCAAGCCCAGGTCCTGGCAGTGGCCCGTGAGCCTGACCCAGCCTGGCCTTGTTGCACTCCGATTTCCCCTCCCCATCCTCCTCCCCACCAGCCTGACCACAGGCCAACGTGCTGTCCCTACAACACTGCAGGCGCCCTCCTGGCCCAGGGCCTTTGCACGTGTTCCCCCTGCCTGGAACCCTCTTCTGCGGGCATCCTCATGGTCTAACTTCTTCTCCCTCTCGAGTCTGTGCTCCTGCGGGCCTTCCCTGAGCACTTGGTTCAATACTGCAACGCGCCCCTGCCCAGCCCACTGTTCCTGATCGCCTCCCAGCTCGCAGCTATTTCTTTTTCTTTTCTACTTTCCAATGTCGAGCACAATTTACTTATTTATTATCTGCATTGTCTGTCTCCCTCTGGAAGACTCCTTTGTAAATGGATGAATCCCCAACACCTTGAACCGTGCTCCGCACAGAGCAGGACCCTAATGAACACTCATTGGATAAATGCATTTGTTGCGGGTACCCTGGGACGACATGGCTCCTGCGTCGTCCTTATCTGGGTCCAGCGCACCCCTCCGGTGCTGACTTTCTGCTTAGTTTTACCTCCTTAAGCCTCCAGTTTCTCATTCCCAAAATACAATTTATTTTGCAATAAAACACACATGGAGGGCCTCACAGAGCACCTGGCCCACAGCGGGCATGTGAGAGCAACTGCAGGTAGGAGTGACTGTTTAGCAAATAAATGTTACGAGATGGAGCTCGGGCACATGAACAGGACGAGTCGAGTGAGTGCCCGCAAACTTGATTCGGGCGTGCAGCTCTTCTCAGAGGAAATATCTCCTTCCTTCCCTGGAGGGAAATGCTCTGGTCCCCAGAGCAGTGAGTTTGCGAGAACAACGGGGAGGACTGAGGGGGCCTGGTCTCAGCCCAGCTTGTTCACTTCCTGGCGGGAGGCTCAGGGCCACCAAGTTCACCTCCCTGGACCTCTGTTTCCTCATCTATGAAATCAGAGAAGGATGCTGTCTCTGTTGACTTCAGAGAGATGGGTTAAAGGGATTGAAGGAGAAAGCGTGTGTGAAATGCTTTGTGTGCAACGTGGGATTGCCCTCGTGGGTGGGGGGCCCAGCTGCCCCCCAGGGTAAGGTGCCTGCTGCTTCTGCAGGTGTCACGGGCCGGCTTGTGTTCTCCCAAATTCACATGTTCTGCCCACAGAATGTGAGACAGGGGCCGTAGAGAGGTAATTAGATTAAAATGAAGTCCTGAGGGTCACTCTCATCCCATACGGTCAGTGCCTTATAAGAAGAGGAACTGGGAACATGGACACACACAGAGGAAGATGATGCGAAGGCAGGGAGAAGACGGCCTCAGAAGAAACCAGCCCTGCCGACATCTTGACATTGGATTTTCAGGCTCCAGAGCTCTGGGACATTCCGCTTCCTGTCGTGTGAGCCCCCAGCCTGCGGGACTGTGGAGCTGTCATCCCAGGATCCCCAGGAAGCAAAGAGAGCAGTTACGGATGAGACTGATGGAAGGCTAGGAAGCCCAGAAAACGGAGCTCGCCTCCTCTCCTGCTCAGAACTCCCCTCCCCAAACACACACACTGACCCCAAACCTCAGTCCCCCATGGCCCTGCGTTCACCCCCTGCCTCCCCGGTCCTGGAGTCCTACTGGGTCTCTCAGCCTGAAAGGTCCCGTAGCTCAAGAAGAGTGTCGGTGGCACCACGGGGGCTGTCTCTGGGCCAAGACCCTCAGGAGCACAGGCTGCTGAGATTCCACAAGGTGGGGGTTTCTGGAAGGTTCTTGGTCATGTTGATTGAGAAGGAAAGCGCAGCCTCTGCTCACCTTTTCCCTGTTGGCAGTCCGAGGAGAGAAATCTGTTTTCTCTGGATAGGGCTGGCACACAGGCAGGGCCTGGGCCTAACCCCTTGGTCTCCCCCAAGTTCTCCGAGGCCCAATCTGGGGCACTGGACCGCCGGGGTTGGGAGATCTGCCGTGTAGAGTGACTGCCTCTGGGTGGTGGCATTTCAGATCCCACCTGTGAGAGCACAGGTAGGGGGGGAGTGCAGCTCAGGGATCACTTCCGCCAGGCAGCTCACCTCCTGCACTGGGTTTCTGTGGTCATAGCTCGTGGCAGGCCCACTCGCCTCCCCCAGACTCACCCAGCCCTGCCCCTCTTTCAGGTCACACACCCCTTTAAACTGCTTCAGTCAACAATAAAGGCTAGCGGTCGGGGCAGGAGGCCCACGCATCAGCGCTGTGTCTGGGGGCCCTCTTGGAAGTTGCCGGCTCAGGTGCTGGGGTAGCAATCCTGTGAAACCTTGGTGGAAAGTCTCCTATTTCTTCTGCTGAGTAAGAGAAAAGATCAACAAAATGAGGCTTTTCTTGGCAAAACAAGGCCACCCACGTACACTCTTTTTAAAAAATCTAGGCGTACCTGTGAGCGTTGGTTTCTTGTGGAACTGTCCGGCTGCCGCACGCGGTCTCAGGCAATCTCTTCATTTGACTGGCTCCTGACTTTGAAAACAGGAGTCCCAGGGACAGGCCAACATCCCCCGGCAGACCACACCCACCCCCCAGGGCATGTGGGGACAGAGGTCTGAATCCCCGCCCCACAACCTTGCTCCCAGCCGCTGCGAGGGGTGAAGGAGACCCTCAAGACTAGCCAGCCCGGGTCAGCTGAGCACAGCCCCCAAGGGGCTGGCTGTTCTGTAAAACCTTGCCTCCACGGTAGTTGCTGGCACTCGGGGCTGCAGCGCCACAGGGAATCCTGTTTGCCGTGGGGCGGGGTCCAGAACTCAGGCTGTAGCTTTGGGTGTGAGTATTCCATCCTGCTGAATTATTTTCAGTGCAGGGCTCAAGACTTCTGTTCCTTCCTTCCTGCCTTTCCATAACTATGGACTAACAGAAGTTGTCAAGATCCGTGGCTTCTAATCTATCTGTGCAAAGGATCAAATTAAAATGGGCTTTTCCTGACAATTCCAAGGGTGGATTAGCACCCTGTGCTTGGGGGAGGGGGGTACGGGGCTGAGTGACCTGAGACCCCACCTTTTGTCCTCCATCAGCGGGGGAGGCTCCTGGGGCCACTGAGGAGCTGGTCTGGGTCCCCACACGTCTAGGCATCCCCAGAGGCCCCTCGGTGCCGGTGGCCCTCTGCAGCCTGGGCTGGAAGCTCCCCGGGGAAGGAAGCTGCCTCACTCCAGGGCCCTGCCTGCATTTGCAACTGATAACTGTGACGCCTGAGCTCAGTGTACCCACTGCCAGGGAGTTTCCTCCTTGCCGTTGCCTCCACATTAACGTGAAGGCAAATAACCCATAACCCAACAGGAATGTTTTATAAGATGTTTAGGGAGTTTCCTGGTCATCACCACACATTAGCTCTCCATACCTCCCGCTTCGGCTGCCTGATGCAGTTGGAATTTAGAAGGATGCCCCAGGAATCAGAAAATCCTGACTGATTTTTGTAGCTATTCAATCATGCTTACTAAGAGGAATCTTACCAAGTCAGGAAAATGAGAAATATGTTCAGGAAAGATTTTCGGTAACAGCATTTGAAACCACACTGGGCAATCTGTGGTCGTTGGAGTGTCCACCCCACCCCCAGGGGCTCTGATCTGACCGACTATGACCCACTGTCCTGACCACAGCTGTGTGTTCCGCCCCAAGGCAGCTGCTCGCTGGCGGGAAAAAAGAGAGCCGGAGCGTGGGTCTAGTCTGGCCAGTGCCTGGCTGCCTTTGTTTTCAGAGTGGTTCCACGTGGGCTGGAATCTGACTGATGCTGGAGGTCCTCTCTCAGGGAGTTTTGACTCGGGACACACAGAGCAAGAAGCAGAAAGACAGACAGACACGTGGAGGTGTGAGGAAGTCATCCTGAGAGAGTGGCACATCCACCAGGGCAAGAGCCACAGACGTCAGCTTCGGGGATTGGCAGATGAGGGGTCACCTTGGCAGAGTGGGTCTCCTGG